TGTCCATCTTTGGAATCAATTGATATATATATATATATATATATATATATATATATATATATATATATATATCTCTTTGGAACTCCGCCTGTAGCTCCTCCAGGGGTTACTGCCGGTCCCAAGCCCGGGTAAAGGAGGAGGGTTGGGCATGGGGTTAGCGACCCCATCCCGTAGAAAATCAACTCGCTAAAAAAACGCTAACCAGAAAAAATCATTCAAACCATTCAAACTCTGCCCTGGGAGTAGAAGGAAAAATGACGTCTCATGATGAAAGCCGAGTTCATTCGGAAGTCATGAGGCCGATGCACCTTCTTACAACCAGAGCGACAATTTTTATAGGTACATGGAATGTCCGGACAATGTGGGAGACCGGCAGAGTCTTCCAAATTTCTGCGGAAATGAGGAAATACAACCTGGAAGTGCTTGGAATCAGTGAAACACATTGGACGCAGGTTGGACAACAACGACTGTCTTCAGGGGAACTTCTGTTATACTCCGGTCATGAAGAAGAAAATGCCCCACATACACAAGGAGTTGCATTGATGCTGTCTAGAAAAGCACAAAATGCACTTATTGAATGGGAATCTCATGGACCGAGGATCATCAAAGCCTCCTTCAGAACAAAGAGAGAGGGCATTACAATGAACATCATCCAATGCTATGCGCCGACCAACGACTACGATGAAGACGCTAAAAACCAATTCTACGATAGGCTGCAGTCAATCTTCGAGAAGTGCCCAACCAAGGACCTGACCATTCTGATGGGAGATTTCAATGCAAAGGTTGGAAAGGACAACACTGGATACGAAGACGTCATGGGACAACATGGACTGGGAGAAAGGAACGAAAATGGTGAGAGATTTGCAAACCTATGTGCCTTCAATAAACTGGTCATAGGTGGCACCATATTCCCACACAAAAACATACACAAAGCCACTTGGATTTCACCGGATCACACTACACAAAATCAAATCGACCATGTCTGCATCAACAAAAAGTTCAGGAGGACGATGGAGGATGTGAGAACCAGAAGAGGAGCTGATATAGCATCCGATCACCATTTGCTGGTCGCCAAGATCAAACTAAAACTCAAGAAGCACTGGACAATGGCGCGGACAACATCACAAAAGTTTAACACGGCCTTTCTTCGAGATGCTGACAAACTCAACGAATTTAACATAGCCCTCAGCAACAGGTTCCAGGCCTTTCATAACCTACTCAATGAAGAGGGAACCACCATAGAGAGCAGCTGGAAAGGTATCAAGGAGGCAATCGTTTCAACATGTCAGGAGGTTCTGGGCCAAAAGAAGCACCATCACAAGGAATGGATCACTGTTGGTACACTGGATAAAATTGAAGCAAGGAGGAACAAGAAGGTAGCAATCAATATCAGCCGAACAAGAGCAGAAAAAGCCAAGGCACAAGCCGAATACACAGAGGCAAACAAGCAAGTGAAGAGGAGCATCAGGACCGACAAACGTAAATATGTGGAAGATTTAGCGATGACAGCGGAAAAGGCTGCAAGAGAGGGAAACATGAGACAACTGTATGATACAACAAAGAAACTTGCTGGAAATTACCGTCAACCAGAAAGACCAGTGAAAAACAAGGAAGGCAAAGTAATCAACGATATTGAAGAACAACGAAACAGGTGGGTAGAACACTTCAAGGAACTCTTGAATCGACCAGCTCCACTGAACCCACCCAACATCGAAGCAGCACCCACAGACCTCCCAATCGATATTGGCCCACCAACAATTGAAGAGATCAGCATGGCCATTAGACAAATCAAGAGTGGCAAAGCAGCGGGACCAGACAACATCCCGGCAGAGGCACTGAAAGCAAATGTAACAGCAACTGCCAAGATACTCCACATCCTCTTCGGTAAGATTTGGGACGAAGAACATGTACCAACAGACTGGAAAGCAGGACTTCTCATCAAGATACCAAAGAAAGGCGATCTCAGCAAGTGCGACAACTACAGGGGCATCACTCTCCTCTCAATACCAGGAAAAGTCTTCAACAGAGTATTGTTAAACAGGATGAAGGATTCCGTGGACGCTCAACTTCGAGATCAACAAGCTGGATTTCGTAAGGATAGATCGTGCACAGATCAAATCGCAACTCTACGTATCATTGTGGAACAATCAATCGAATGGAATTCATCACTGTACATCAACTTCATCGACTACGAGAAGGCATTTGATAGCGTGGACAGGACGACACTATGGAAGCTTCTTCGACACTACGGCGTGCCTGAGAAGATAGTCAAGATCATACGGAACTCCTATGATGGACTAAACTGCCAAATCGTCCACGGAGGACAACTCACCGACTCGTTCGAGGTAAAGACCGGTGTTAGGCAAGGTTGCCTACTCTCACCCTTTCTCTTTCTCCTGGTGATCGACTGGATTATGAAGACGTCAACATCTGGAGGAAAGCACGGGATACAGTGGACAGGCAGGATGCAGCTTGACGATTTAGACTTCGCGGATGATCTGGCTCTTCTATCACAAACGCAACAACAAATGCAGGAGATGACGACCAGTGTAGCAGCAGCCTCAGCAGCAGTAGGTCTCAATATAAACAAAGGGAAAAGCAAGACTCTCCGATACAATACAATATGCACCAATCCAATTACACTTGACGGAGAAGCTTTGGAGGATGTGGAAATCTTTACATATCTGGGCAGCATCATTGATGAACACGGTGGATCAGATGCAGATGTGAGGGCGAGGATCGGCAAAGCAAGAGCAGCATACCTACAGCTGAAAAACATTTGGAGCTCAAAACAATTGTCAACCAACACCAAGGTTAGAATTTTCAATACAAATGTGAAGACAGTTCTTCTGTATGGGGCAGAGACGTGGAGAACTACGAAAGCCAGTATCCAGAAGATACAAGTGTTTATTAACAGCTGTCTACGCAAGATACTTCGGATCCGATGGCCAGACACTATCAGCAACAAGTTACTGTGGGAGACAACAAACCAGATTCCAGCGGAGGAAGAAATCAGGAAGAAGCGCTGGAAGTGGATAGGACACACCTTGAGGAAATCACCCAATTGTGTCACAAGACAAGCCCTCACATGGAATCCTGAAGGTCGAAGGAGAAGAGGAAGACCAAAGAACACATTACGCCGAGAAAGAGACAGACATGAGAAGAATGAACAAGAACTGGAAAGAACTAGAAAAGAAGGCCCAGGACAGGGTGGGTTGGAGAAAGCTGGTCGGCGGCCTATGCTCCATTGGGAGTAACAGGCGAAAGTAAGTAAGTAAGATCTCTTTGAGCCACGTTGGTGGCTGGTGACACCTTCAAACAAACAATTTAAAACGCAGAATCTAGCAAATACGTACATTAGTTCATATGATGAAACGACATCGGCAGAACGATAAGCAGTCAACAAGTCTCAGACTAGCAGTAGTAGCAACGGTGATGAAAGGAAATATTAGGCACAGACAATAAGATTAAAAAATGAGCTCGCCCACCGAAGCGCGTAAAATAATTTCGGAATTTATTATCTAAGGGATGACAAACAGAAACTGCATCCAAACCGCTGGGACGCATTTCGATTCACCATACATTTTTGTTATGATAAACGAGCAGACCACATCCGTGCTTGAATGCAACAATATGGTTCAGTTTAACAGTCGGTGACTTCACAAACTAATGTTACGTTTCGGTCTAGCGGTCTCTAGATTCCTTCCAACCTGCTCTTGCGTCAACTAATATCTCTCATTGAGGAAGGCTGTGGGCAGGCATACGTAATACATGCTCAAACCCCGTTGATCAATGAAGACATAAAAATATAAACCTGTCACACTCAACTATCACCCTACATCTAACCTTAGTAATACTCAATCCGTAGTCTCAATGTATGCAAGCAATCTTTTGAAATGACCTATAGCCAAGCACCAGTAACCTAGGAATATCTTTTTTTAAAGACATAAAGTAGAACAGAACGAATTGCTGCAAGGTCAACTTGTCTTTTGTTTGGCAGACAGACATTTAATCTAAGCTACAAGTGATGGGGATTGGCGAAAAATCAAGCAGATTTTTTAAATTCATGTCAAGATGTCTTCGGACAACAGACCGGCAAGGCTAGTGAGGCTTGTAAATGGTAGTCAAAGCAACCAAGTGACCAAACGATTTGTCTTCAAAACTGTGAACACTATGCACAGATGTCTGCTACAACCTACATCAGAATGCTATTTTACCTGGAGTCACAGTAAGTCAGGAAAAGGTTGAAAGTATGCTAAACACTTTTATTCTCCAGACTTATCAGTATCCTCGGTACTGAGTATAGTTATCAACAGTCCTGATAGGATTATTTTGAACGTTCAATCCCTACCGCTGAAATGACTTGTAATCACTTGAATGGAAATAAATTTGTATCAAGTTTTATTTCACAACTCATATTGGTCATTTCATCGACTAACTGCCCATTACAAACGCACTAAACCATACACAGCTAAATAAATTAGGACTCAAAAACCCTTAATTTACAATTCATAGTGAAAAACATGTTTGTATTGAAGTGATTTCCGAAAATCACAGGAATATACAATTTAGATTCTTATTATCAGATTCAGACGCACACATTTTTATCCCGTCATTCAGTTTCTGATGTGGCTGAAAAACCTTTGACTCAAATGGTAGGAAATAACAATACAGAGTCTTCAAACCGACTGATACAACACAAGTCTCGTTAAAATCACGCCCCCAAATGCCCTGGTACAGCCGAGAGTGGAGAAAGTCGGCTCTCCCTCTCGAAATGCTCTCACATGGCCACACGTATATAGTCTGTCACAGCCCTCACACAAACAAAATGAGATTTGTGCGGTGCATATATATCTGGTGCCCCTTTGTACCAATATTTATGTTTAAATAATAATAATGTTAAAATCATATTTTTAATAACAAAACAAGCTTAATAAAACACAGGACAAGCGCGTTACTTTAGAGGATATACATATAGAAGGTTAGTGATAACAACCTACCTTAGTACCAGTTGTGTAACCCTGACCACGATCATATGAGGAGCCTTTATGTACATTACAATTCTGAGACTCAACGTTGACTGAACTGGGATATGCAACAGGACTGTCCATTTTTGTCAGGTGCCTGGAATTTAAGATAGTGGGTGAACATATTCGGCCATCGAAATGGACATCGCATTGTTTATATCTTCTTGAGATAGTGCTTGGGGAAAGCTGGTTAGTGGCCATCTGACTGTTTTCCGAAGGAACTGACACTTTGGATGACTCATAAATTGAACCATTAACAGGGGTTTTTACAGAGGTGCAGGATAAGGATTTAGGTGGCTGTTCGAGCAAACCCCCTATGGAAGCTCGGATAGCATCCACTAATTGATATAAGGTAGATTTTTCTGAAGTAAAAAGGAATAACAATTAGTGTTTACCCTCATTATTTACTCATGGTTTGAATTGTCAAGTATCTATGTACTTGGTTTATTGTGAATAAAAATACAAAACCAAAGTCCTGTGAAACCCATGCTGACGAAATGAATTAGGAGAACCTACACTTCCTTGGGAATTAAATTCAACTTCCGCATTATGTCAATAAGTAAAGCTATCTGCCTCCGTAATTAAATGAATGACATATTAGAAATAGGGAAACAAGCACATGGAATAAATGAGTTAAATTATGATTGATACCTGGTTTTTGGCCAGCATCGCGAACCGGGACCACTGTTGCTTTAGATTTGCAGTCCCTGGGACGCTGTAAGCTGAGGGTACCTGGTGAACAAAAGTTCATATTGGACTTCTGGGGAGAGAACTGTCTACTAGGTGGAAATTTTGTAGAGCTCTCATCTGACAATGGGGAACTATTTGGAGATATTTCCATATCATCTGTTGTGAAAGTCCTCGGTGGAAGATGATTTAGCTTCGCTTTCCTCAATGGATCGTACCGAAAATCATGAGCCACAGGACGGCTAACTAATCAGAAAGCCATGTTAGCACAAATAGCAACAAACCATGGGTTTTTCCGTCATTGTGGGAAATTCCTGTGATATGACCTACATCAGCGGTATGGCTACAAACAAATAAAAATAATATATTATTACTTGGACATATTAATGCTCAGATGTGATGAACTTGGACGCCGAACCTCCGCATTGACAGAATACTTTGTGCGTTTCAGTTCACTAGATAGAAGTGAACGTTCATCTTTAATTGCACTAGGTTCACTTTCGGATATACTATGTGATCTTTTCAGATTGTTTTCTAAAATAAGTGAGGCACATTTTGAGAGATACCTTCAGTGTGTTTACGATCACTGAGCAGCTTTAGTAGATCTCTCCTGTTCATTTCAGGTAAATCCCACTCCGGAGGCTTTTGCCATTGGGAAACCTCAGTCATACAGTTGTAAAAGTATATCTTGCCTTTGGAGCTTAACTGCTCTGACCAGTACCCACAAGTCCTGATTGCACTTTTCTGCCACTACACGTATATTCAAATGTAGGATACAAAAAAACTAACCTCGGGTTTCCCATGCACATTACGTTCTTTTTTTGTTTGGTGGTTAACAGAGTTAGATGAGCGGTTGGAATGATCCATGAAGACTAACAAAATAATGAAATCGTGATAAAGAAAGCTACCTTCCATGTGCTCTTTACTACTACAAGTATTTAACGTGTGGATAGCAAGTTACAAAGGAGAAGACTTCGGTCGATCCTGACAAGGCATATATACTACCTACGTTTAGGAAAAATACTAAGAGCCCGCCAAAACAGTTGTAATCGCGGCAAAAGAGTCGGTGAGCCATATTGTCAACCAGGCGAACATTTGCCTAAATAAAACAAATGCAAAATTTTAATAACTTTAATCTTATTGAGTTGTTTTATTTTTTTATCGTTTCCAATATCGTAGACAACTACTCTCATGGGTGTGGTGGTAGACCTAGTTGAAGCTTTAATTAGGGACATTCCGTATTTCATAATAATTAGTCTTCTGAGCACTCACCTCCATAATTAGAGACCGTGGTGGCAAGAAATCCTCGAAATAAATAGCACTGTAAGTCTTCGGTATTGATGATAACTTCATAAGTTCTACTGGACACATGCTAACTGGTGATCAGTTACGGATCCACATCGAGTCGCCATTGGGTAGGCCATGCTACGCAGCTTTCGCAATACCTAGTCAGTTTATATCATACACTTTTCGAAACATTAACTATCTTCCATATTTATCTTCGAACTCCTTCATCCCTGACTTTTAGTTTGACCGAGTTTGTATATTTTGATTATAAATGTATTACATACAACAGTGTTGTCAACCCCTGAATATCCCTGACATCTTTAGTCGTCGTCAACCGCTCCACAGAACTATTAACTTCAAAACTTCTTGACCTGAAAAAATGTCACCGATATTTCCATGGCATTCTCTTGAGGTTACTTGCTATTTAAATAAAAGGGGAATGGTTACTCTCAATCGACGAACCGAAGATAGATCATAATATTTGCAAACAGACGTGGATAATGATGAATATCTATAGTAGCTCTAACAGCTCTAATCGGAACAGAAGTTGATGGACTTCTTTTCGAACGGTCGGTAGGAAAGTTTTTCTTTTTTTTCTCAGAGGGTGGGTGCCAGAAATCAAAGGTGACCCATGCCTTCGTCGAACGCTTGGCAGCAAACTTCGGTTGCCCTTCAACCATCACTACAGGTCGTGGACACCAGTTCGAACGTGGACTTTCCCTTTTTTCTAACTACACTATTAGGAATCATGAGATTCCGAACGACCACCTACCGCCCACAAGTCAACAAATTGGTTCAACGATTTCACCGACAATTAAAAGCTTCACTCTCAGCTGTTAAAGCTTCACAGTGAACTGACGCTATTCCATTCGTTTTATTCGGTATTCACAATGCAGTGAAAGCCGTCATTACATACACTGTAACTCAACTCGTTTATGGAACGACACTTAGCCTTCCAGAAGAATTCGTGGATTATTTGTCTTCTTCACTGGACAGAGATCTAAACTCCTGAACGAGCAGGCCTACAAACGCAGTGAGTTCAGTTAAGCCTGTTTTCATCCGACCGCAACCAACTCATATTTTCGTTCAACCTACCGTACGACATTAGTACGCACGTTTTTGTTCGTCGCGACTCACTTCGATGACCTCTCAAAACAACACACGAAGAACCCTTCAAAGTCCTTCTGCGTGAATCTAAGTACTGTATAGTCGATAGGAACGGAACTAACGATGGCATCAGCATCGATCGTTTTAAAGCCGCGTATTTAGAAGAAAACCCTATCCACATCGATTTTCCTGTGGTGCAATGGATAGACACGAGTTTCCCAATTACATTACCTCATCCTGCAACCAACAATCACGACGAAACCTCGTTGATACCTGACAATCGACTTAAAACAACTCGTTGTGCAAGAAGAGTAAGATTTCCAGAACATTTAAACGACTATTGCACGTAAGATATGAGTTAATATTTTGCTTTATCTCGACTTTCCTTTGTATTGTATATAATAAAAAAATTAACATGCTTATACTTATATATCCATTCCAAGAAAACAAACGAAATTGCTTTTTGCTAATATGTGTATGTTTAATATTCTTCTTTAAAGAAAACCAAAAAATTCTTTAAAATTAGCTTTTTAGGCTAACATATGTGCATGAGTTCATTTACCTTTTTTCTCCCGATTTGTGTCTTTACGCGCTTACGAGTGTATTTTAACATGCACTTACATATTCTTTTTTTATTTTCTAGGACAGCTAGAAAAGACGATAAAAAACGATGAAGTTTACGATGAACCTAAATTTTTATTGTACTTTGTTTCCTTTTTACTACATTGTACATCACGGCCTCTTATAGTAAGGAAAGATGACCAGATGCTGCTAAACATAGTAAGCTATCAGAAGGGTGTTTACCAACGACAAACTTGTTGGGTTTAAACTTCTGGCTGGAGACGTCTTAGGGTCATTACTACCTCACTGGGGGGAAGTGGTCTGTAGCGGTAAACCAATCGCCGAAATCAATGGCTCCGTAAGTTTTCAACATTAGATGCTGACCACATTAGTTTTGATGGATTTACTTAGCTGAATGCGATCAGTCGTGCATCCGCATCAGATTACGAATGAGAACGACGTGTTCAACATCCCCTGGAATGGCTAGCTGGATTTGATCAGTCACTTCTCGATATATTGATAACCTATCAAATATATCTTCGAACCTCTTCGCTTCTGTCTTTTGATTTCGCTTGGTGGGTGCGATTCACTATAGAAGGTGTTTCTTGTTAAAATGTCAAACTCCAAACACCTGTGGCATATTCATTGTTATCGAAAACAGTTTACCGTTTGACCTACTTTATAAAGAGGCTGCGTGCTTTTAGGATTACTCAACATTTACTTCTACAATTTATCGATTCCTGAAAATACCTATTATTTTTATTGTTCTCCATTATGCTTTCTAGGGCTTTTGAGGTGTGTAGTGAATCTTTTGAGGTCACTAATAATACGGTTGTGGATGGACATCTTAAGTCTTGCAAACTCCTGGCAGATGTTATATTATCAGATGCCAACCATCCACTGCATTCATATCTTTCTCCTTGTATATCTTCTGGCAGAACGAAACGCACATACACTAAAATCCATACACACAAGCAAATCTATAAACGTTCTGTAATATCTTACTTAGCAGATATACTCTGTAACGAACAGGTTGTTAGAGTTAACCTGGTCAATAACCTGTATTTGTAAACATGTGTCAAATTCGATAAGTTGTACAGTCTCAGATATCTTTTCACCTTTTCTCATTTCTTTTTTTTGTTTTTCGTCAAGAAAAATTTGTTGAAATACCTGATGCTAATAATCCTATATTGTACCAAAATATGATATTGAATGGATCCACTATAATAATAATAAAAGTATAACTATGGAGAAGACTTCCGACTACTGTTCCAGTCAGTTTCTTAAGTTTCATACGACTTGTTTACTTACACGGAGATTTTCCCAACCTCAATATTACTTAACCGTGATAGAATTTAGTAATATTACTAATATGTATGAACGTCTGTCAAAAAATGTTTTTAATACGTGGGAAGTGATAATTATGCGAATTTTAGACGCGTAGCTAAGAGCGATTCGTTAAATATGAATGTATTCGTAAGAGGTATGCTCTAGACTAAATGTTATTTATATTCATATTCAACGGCTGATCGTGTATACAAGTTAGTTACAAGTATCAAGTTTCGCAAAAGTTAGTTACAAATATAGTGATTAAGAATTGTCGAAACCGACTAAGCCTATGTGCCATAAACATAGGTGGCAATAGCTTCACGCTACGGTACAGCAATACAATCATGGTGGTAGGCTCAATATACGAGAATCAAGTTGACGATGAAGGATTGTGTAAACACGTTCAACAACATCAAGAGGATTCGATAGCTTTTATGTCAATGAAGGTGTAAGACATGGTGAGCCGGACCTGGAAACGAACGAGTAGATGTTCACATGGATAGTTTCGGAGGGTTAGGCTATTTACTCACAAGTAATAAGGACAAGTTCGTTTCAGCCACGAAATGACATGAGCTGAGACTGCCAAGGCAAGGCCCATGTTGATTTGAGGGTAGAATACTGTGAGAGATGGTATTATGAGGTCAGACTACTGAAAAACCTATCTGTGAGCTGAACCGTCAGGTATGAGTTATCTTGTTCTAGTTAAACTAATTTTTAGTGTCGATAAAAAACTGATTATAGTAGCTTGTGCAGGTAGGCGTACTGTTGTGTGTCCTGCCTGTTCCTCGTAAATCGTCCTTTCTTAGTGCTTCTGATGCCAAACGGTATTCGGATTGATTTTCATCCAAACAGATTAGCAACATGTTACCTTGGTCATAGGTGGCACAATATTCCCACACAAAAACATACACAAAGCCACTTGGATTTCGCCGGATCACACTACACAGAACCAAATCGACCATATCTGCATCAGAAAAAGTTCAGGAGGACGATGGAGGATGTGAGAACCAGAAGAGGAGCTGATATAGCATCCGATCATCATTTGCTGGTCGCCAAGATGAAATTAAAACTCAAGAAGCACTGGACAACGGTGCGGACAACATCACAAAAGTTTAATACGGCTTTTCTTCGAGATGCTGACGAACTCAACAAATTCAAGATAGCCCTCAGCAACAGGTTCGAGGCCTTTCATGACCTACTCAATGGAGAGGGAACCAGCATAGAGAGCAGCTGGAAAGGTATCAAGGAGGCAATCGTTTCAACATGTCAGGAGGTTCTGGGCCAAAAGAAGCACCATCACAAGGAATGGATCACTGTTGGTACACTGGATAAGATTGAGGAAATGAGGAACAAGAAGGCAGCAATCATTATCGGCCGGACAAGTGCAGAAAAAGCCAAGGCACAAGCCGAAAACACAGAAGCAAATAAGCATGGCCATTAGACAAATCAAGATCGGCAAAACAGCGGACCAGACAACATCCCGGCAGAGGCATTGAAAGCAAATATAGCAGCAACTGCAAAGATACTCCACATCTTCTTCAGTAAGATTTGGAATGAAGAGCAAGTACCGACAGACTGGAAAGAAGAACACCTGATAAAAATACCAAAGAAAGGCGATCTCAGCAGGTGTGAGAACTACAGAGGCATCACTCTCCTCTCAATACCAGGAAAAGTCTTCAACAGAGTATTGTTGAACAGGATGAAGGACTCCATAGACGCCCAACTTCGAGATCAACAGGTTGGATTTCGTAAGGATAGATCGTGTGCAGACC